CACCGACCGTTCGAGAAAAGAGCCCTCGGACACCGATCAAAATAAAACAAAACAAAAATAAAGGAGGACGCTTCCCACACCCGCCCAAAGAACGTGAACCATGGTGAATGAAATCAACCGTGAAAAAAGAAATTATTTATTCCTTCTGGAATCAATCGCCGACGCACACGCATTTTTTTTCATGACCTCCCTGTCTAGTCTGCTGTGTTGGGTACCTTGATCTCGCTTTGCTGTTTCCTTTGTTTTTGTACGTCTGGCTGTCTGCCCATCTGCCGCCTCTTTGTCGTGCTTGCTCCATTACTCCCATGCCCTGGTGCGTAGTGCCTGGTGCTGGTACGTTACCCTTTGATTTTTTCTTTGGGCGGGTGTGGGAAGTGTCCTCCTTTATTTTTGTTCTTGTTTTATTTTGATCGGTTTCCGAGGGCTCTTTTCTCGAACGGTCGGTGCGATACCTGTTCTTTTCTATCATTTTGTTTTCTTTTTCCGAGTGGTTTGTACCCTAGTTTTGTCTTTTTCCCCGCGGCGTCGTGCCGGGTTTTGAGACCACGGGCTCCCCATTTCTTGTGGACTATAGAGCTAATGTGAGAAACAACAACAACAACAACAACAACAACAACAACAACGCCCTTCCTGTTGCTCCCCGAACACACACTATCCACATCTACCTCTCTTTCTCCGTCTCCCTGTCTCTCACACACACCCGCCCGCTACGGCGTTGAAGGGTGTCCTTGACCTTCCGTGGGGTTGGTGATAGTGTTTGGTCGCACGCAAGTCTTCACATACACTTCGTGTGGGAACACATCTCCCCCTCGCAAGACGTGCAAGAGAGCGGGTGCGCGTCCGCATCATGGATCCCCAGCCGAATCGTAAGCTTCTCGACAAGCTCCTACGGTCGGGCGATATCAAGAGAGAGAACCGTGACCTCATGAACGTCCGAGCTGCTTCGCGCTTCGTCGATGGGGTCCGTCGCCACGATGACCCATCCGACGTTCTCTTCCGGCTTGATCAGAAGGACCCACAGCTCATTCGGACCATATTCACCCTTCACTCCTCCAACGACTTCATGGATAGCGTGGTGATGCCCTTCATCACCTGGCTGGGCAACGATGAGCTCTCCATCGGCACGTGCAGCTTCAAACAGCAGCTGATATGCAACAGGCTAGCGCGCGCTCCCGGCCTGCTGGACAACCTGCTGGAAGCCTTGAACTGCGACAAGATCTCGGACAATATGTCTCTCTTGTGGTTTGTCGAGAGGCTGATTCTCGACGACGGTCAAGACGGAGTAACCGCGAGATCCAGCAACAGCAAGGAGTCTGCGCTCGTCAACCGTTTGAAGCGGAGCACGTCGCCCACCGTCAAGGCTCAGGCGCAAAAGCTGCTGAAGGTTCTGTCCGATCCGTCTGAGGTGGACAAGCGAAACGCTGAAATTGCCGCCACCGGAGGGGGCTTGTCCATCGAAGCCATCCAAGCATCATCGCCGGGAGGGCGGCACTCCAACGACCATGTGGATTTCCGCTCCATCACGATCGTGCCGAGTGTGGATGAGGTTCTCTGCGACAAGATCCCGTTCCTGCCGACCGAGATGGAGCGTGACATCCCACACCTCGATCGTCAGTTTCGCCTGCTGCGCCACGATTTGGTTTCGAGCGTCGTCGATGCTGTGACTCCACTGAAAACGCTTCGAGCCGGTGCGGGAGAAACGAAGGGCTCTGGTAGGGCAAAAGGTGGCGAAGGAGGGCGGCCCCCATTTATATTGGAACAAACAAAGCGCGGCGCCATCGTAGCAGACAAAGGGGGGCGCGCGGCCGCAGTGCTGATACATTTTGACTGGCCGTCTTCACACCCCGTGTCTCGCATAAAAACGCCAAAAAAAAGGATGGACTATTTGCAGCAGACCAAGGGCGGGCGAGGAGGCGGTGGCACCGGCGGCGGCGGCGGCGCCGGGCGCAACTTGCTGAAGAAGGATTCGTTGGTTGTGCTGACCAACAAGTACCTGAAGCCTCTCTTTATCGCGACCGTCACGATCAGGGACGAGGGACTGCTCGCGGGAGGTGGCGGTGGAGGTGGGGCGAGCTGGGGCAGTGGTGGCGCCGGTGGCAACAGCAACGGCGGGGGTTTCGGTGATCGGGGTGCCTCAGGTCGCGGTCGCGGGGGAGGCGGTCGTCTTCCTAACGGTCGTGGAAGGGGCGACCGTGGTGGTAGGGGCGCCGGTGGCCACGGCGGAACCGGAGGGAGCCGCAGCTGCATCTGGAGGGAGAGGCAGGAGTCGCGCCCGGCGGTGGGGGTCTCGTTCTTCAACCTCAAGGATCTGGAAGCGGCTCTGCTTCTCTCGAGGGACGACTCCTGGGGCTGCCTCGTGCCCCTTACCGTCGGCGTCTTCGCGTACGAGTCTGTGCTGAAGCAGCTGCAGGCCATGGCCGACGTCCCAATGGCGAACCTGCTCGTGGACTGGCCTGCCGCTCACGCGGTGTCGAAGCCCGGCGGCAGCAGCCTTGAGCGACTTGCCGGGAGCCTCTGGAAATCCATGACGGGCGGCGCCTCGTCCGCCGCCCCACCGCCTGAATCCCCGCAGCCGCCGTTGTACGAGGGCGTGGAAGCCGCGGAGATGGAGGGACTCGCCGAGCGGTTCGCCGCTAGCGCGGATGATCTCAAGAACCGGACGCCGTTGATGCTGTCGCCGCCTCTCGTCGGAGTGAATCTGTCTAGCGGGTGCCAGTTCGACATTTCGCAGCGGGTGGCGGTGGCCCAGGTGTTGCGGCAGAGAGTTAGCCTTGTTCAGGGACCTCCAGGTAATCGTTTTGGCGAGGAATGTTCTTTATTCGGGAAGTTTGTTTGTCGGTTGGATGCGTGCCTCAATGAGTTCTTTGTTGTTAATTTTTTTTTTCTGGCTGGGCCCATCTGTCATCAAGCTGGACGTTGTAACGTTGAAAAATATTTTGAACTGAATGTTTTCAAGAACTTTTCTGGACTGTTTTCTTACCTGCTGTGGTAATCACTTTGGTCGTCACACAAACGAAAACATGCAGCCGATTTTTCCATGCGGCACCACTCAACCAGCTGATGTTGCGACCACAGTCACCAACATAGACATTGCCGGAACTTCCTCACGCCCCTGAAATATCCTTTTCTCTCCAGCAACGACAACGTTTCCCTAAACCCAATGCATCTCCCCCTCACCCCACTCCCCTCCCTTAGGCACGGGTAAGACGTTCCTCGGCGTGCTGCTGGCGCAGATCATCCTAGCGTCGACGGACCAGAAGATCGTGTGCGTCTGCTACACCAACCACGCCCTCGACTCCTTCCTCGAGGACCTCCTGGGCAAGGGGATCACCGACCTGGTGCGCATCGGCGGCGGCAGCAAGAACGCCAAGCTGGACCCGTACCAGCTGCGGAACCACCAGGCCCAGGGCTTCAACCGGGTGCAGAACCGCCAGTTCGCGATTCTCAAGGAGGCGTTGGAAGAGTCGCAGGCCCAGATCGACGATATCCAGAAGACGAGCGGGCTCAACCGCAAGCCTGACAAGATGGACGTCGTGGGGTGGCTGGAGGACGAGGACTTCGAGGCCTTCCAGGAGCTCCAGATGCCGGAGGGCGGTGATGGGGGCACGGTCGTCGGCAGGAGGGTGAGAGGGTTCGAAAGACGTCAATTGATCTGTGATCATTCGTGATCGACGGGTATCCTCGTCGCCGCTGCTGCGCCCAGCGAATGTTGTGTTTGTATTTAATGTTTTCCGTGAAAGTTGACGAGCGCTCTGTGAGCGTTTTCTCAGTGACCGACTTTCCCGTTAAACGGGTAGCTTGTTCACGGCTTCCTTCTTCGACCTTGAAAAAAACTGTGTCAAGAACTTGAGAAAAAATCCACTCCATTTCGAGAGGTGCCACCATGTGCGGTCCTGGACGGACGAGTCCCACGCGAAAAAACCGACGATTACAATCGCCCGACTCCTTTGTAGAATTCCAACCGTTTCCTCAACGGTACGCCGCGATGCCCCAATATCACTTCACTTGCAGGGCCGAGCCCTCACGAGCGCGTCTATCGTCCGCACGTGGCTGGACGGGAAAGAGAAGCCCTCCGCACCCCTGCTGCAGCCAGCAAACACTACGTCAGAATCCGGCGGTGGCGACGGCAGCATCAACAGCGAGCCGCTGTCGACCGACAGCATATGGGCGTTGGACAAGAACGCCCGCAAGGCCAGGTGGGCCGGGTGGGAGGCCGCTATCAAGGCAGAGGTGGCCGAGAAGGTGGCCAAGAAGGTCAAGGCTCACGACACGCTAGCGCGGGAGCTCTCCGGGCTCCAGCGCCAGAAGGACGTGCAGCGCGTGCGGGCGGCTCGGGTCGTCGGCTGCACGACAACGGGCGCGGCCATTCACCACTCGCTGCTGGCGGAGGCGCGGTGCGGGGTGGTGCTGGTTGAGGAGGCGGCCGAGGTCCTTGAGGCTCACGTCCTGGCCGCGCTCGGGGACTCCACGAAGCACCTAATCATGATCGGTGAGGGGGCGTTTCGTGGGTCACGTGTCCGTTGTGGTTGTCGTTGGTGGTGGTAGGCGTAATGGTTGTTGTTGTTGTGGCAGTTCTGCTTCTTCTTCTTCGTCTTCTGCTTCTGCTTCTTCTTCTTCTTCTTCTTCTTCTTCTTCTTCTTCTTCTTCTTCTTCTTCTTCTTCTTCTTCTTCTTCTTCTTCTTCTTCTTCTTCTTCTTCTTCTTCTTCTTCTTCTTCTTCTCGGTGGTGTTTATTGTTGTTGTTGTTGTTGTTGTTGTTGTTGTCGCTTAGGCGGAAGCTGGTACCGCCGGCGTTGTTCTTCGCTTTCGTCTCGTACATCGTGTAGACCTCGCTCGCCGCGGACGCGCTCGCTAGACTAACTCCAGGTTCTTACGTCTCGGCGGAAACATCGTAGTCTGCCCACACGACGGCAAATACCCCGCCCCTTTCTGACCGACTGCTTCTTCCGCCTCCCCTCTGTCCTTCCCTATGCGAACGGCCTAGGCGACCACAAGCAGCTGAGGCCCAAGGTGGAGCAATACAGCCTGAGGGTTGAGAGCGGGAGGGGGTTCGACCTGAACGTCAGCCTGTTCGAGAGGCTCGTCAAGGCCGGATACCCGCACACGACGCTAGAACTGCAGCACCGGATGCCGCCCGAGGTGGGGCGATCGACCGGGCTGGCTGTGTGTTTCCAACTGTCAAGTGCCGAAGAGGAAAACTCATTGTCATCGTAGGGGGTTCCAGGATTAGGGGTCCTAATTACACGAGGGGGGGTTCGATGCCGCTCTCCACTTCAGATCTGTGTTCCCTGTCGATGGCGGGTTGTTCCCTGTTGAGGATATCTGACTGACGATTGCATGAACCCCCGTCGAGCCCTCCAGATATATGTGTTGTTGCAACAATGAAGTCTCTTGTGGGCGAAGTCAAAAGCATTGCTCGCCACGTGATCTCATCGGCGAAGGTGCCTGTGTGCGAAAATGTTCTTCTGCGCGCGATACGTTGGGGGGACGCGCTTGCCCGGCACAAACAACAGCAACAGACCCAACCGTGTCAACCTACCCCCTCCCCCCTTGCCTGCCGACATCACGCGCGCACCCTAGATCTCTGCGCTGGTCAAGGGGCTCACTTACCCGAGGCTACGCGATGGGCCCGGGACAGTCAATCGTCCACCCGTCCTAGGTATCCGTGACCGCGTGTGCTTCGTCGGCCACCACCACAACGAGGAGTCGGCGGCTTCGATGCGCCAGCGCCACGACGACGGGGTGTCGGTGTCCAAGGTCAACCGGTACGAGGTCCGGATGGTGGCGAAAACCGTCAAGTACTTGCTGCTGCAGGGGTACGAGCCGGACCAGGTGCGTGATGGATTGTCGCAGCGATTATTGCGCGGTCTGGTTGAATGATCGCGGCTACTGCGTAGTCTGGTAGTAGCAGCAGCAGCGTTCGAAAAGTGATACGGTGGTTGTTGTTGTTGCTTTCTTCACAATAAAACCGTTCCCATCTCTCAACCCAGAAGCGATTGTATTTGTAGTGGTTGCAGCGTTGGAGAAAACAGTAGATTGAGAAGACCAGGTTCATTCGTTGGCTAGCTAGCCGCATTGTTGCCCAACTAGGGTTGTTTTTCCTGCACTACGTGCGAACACGTTCTGCTCGCCTTGTTTCTTTCGGTGTCGTTCTGGAATGTCCTGTGAAGAGAGTGACCTTGTTGCTTATCCCGCTTGACTCTGCGTGTCGCAGATCGTCGTGCTGACGCCGTACCTTGCTCAGCTCCGGGAGCTACGGGATGCGATGGACGGCGCGGTCAGCGACCAGGACGCCTACGATCTCGCGGCGGCTATCCGGTTGGGCGACGGCACCAACGAGCGAGGAGATGGAAAGAGCGGCGGCGGCGGAGGCGGCGGCGGCGGCGGCTCTGCTTATACGAGGTCGAGAGTCAGGGTGGCAACGGGTGAGGGGTTTCGTGCGATGATTTCCCGAAAGCTATTCCAGTCGTCGTGTTCGGCGTGGGGTCAAAAAGCTCTGCTTGTTTTTTGCAAAGGACTGCCGCGTGTTGGAGTATTCTCTCGCCATTCCATTGTTCCGCAGCTCTCTCGGAATTTCTTCAAAAAATCCCTTCACTAGCCAGAATAATATCTTTCCTGGGTGGAGGGGGGGGCGTACTCTTATGTTTTGCATGCCGTAGCGGTTAGACCACTTACCACGCATCCTCGAGAGGACGGAGCATTGTTCCCTCAGGACCGATCACCGATGGCCAATCGTTCCTTTCTACTTTGCCAGAGGTGGCTCAAAAATGTCTTCCCCAGTCTGTCTGTCCTAATGATATCCTTTCCCGCCTTTTCAACCCACCTCCTATGCCCCAGTACAGCTACCGTCCTTTCCTCTCTATTCCATGCCTCAAACATCTCCCTGTACGTTCCATCTATTTTTCCCAGCTCAGTCACGTACACTTCCCTCTCCTTCTTGTACAACGGACATTCCGCGACTACATGAACACGGTCTTCGCATTCGAAGCCGCAATCACATTTGAACTCCTCGTCTTCCTCGTCTACCGTCCTATGTCTTCGTCGACGTCCTCGAAGGCCCATCTCCCCGGTCCTGAATTTGACCTTGAGCTTTGTTCCTGCATCCATTGGTCCATGTAGGTAGTCCTTGAACCCTATTCCTTCCTTCAACATTCCGTACACTTCTAGACCCTCCTTATCCTTGGATTCTTTCCTCAGATTCTGTTCTTCTCTCTCGGCACAAGCAACAGATATCTTCTCCCTGAACCCCTGTAGACCCTCCGTT